TGCGCGAAAGCATCTACGCCCAAACTACCGGGGGATGCAAATCTGGAATTATAGGCAGATATCTGAGCATTGTAATAGGATGCGAATCTGTCGCAGGAATGAGGACCCCACATAGCATCTAGAGTTCTGAAGACGGAATGATTGACAGACCAGTCATCTCTATCGATGAAGCGACTTAACATATCTGCTTGCTGATTACGTTCGCGAGGAATCCACTCGGCTTCCAAACAAATATCGCTCTCAAAACACAAACTAAAGATAGACAAGGCGATCTGCTGTAACTCGAGTTTAGAGCTGCCAATAGAAACAATTCTTGCTGCGGCTTGATTGTCTGTAAAAATTTTAACCTTCTTATGTTTSAGCTGTTCTACGTAGGAAAAACAAATATAATAAATGGCCTTGAGTTCACGGTACGTGGAGCTACGGCCGATTTCTTCGTCGGTCCACATACCACTAACTGATGCACCGTCAAGGGTCGCGGCATAACCCCCAAACGCCAATTCACTAGCATCGCTAAAAAGAACAGTACACGATGCGGGAGGGGATGAAATACGGTAACCATTAAAACAGTCTATATTAGTGTACCAGAACTTAAGCTCCTCGAGTAGAGCTGGGGTGAAATAAACGATAGAGTCCCACGAAGATCTCGCTTCGATAGTTAAATACATCTGACGGGTTAAGAGTCGCGCAACTGGACCAACAGCCAAAGCACTAGATATAACTGAGCCTGCAATCTTAGCCAGAAACCTGTAGGTGCAATWTCCGTCCGAGATAGCTGAATCGAGCAAACCTTTCAACTTGGATACTTTCTTTTCAGGCAGAAAAAATTTCATCGCTATTGTATTGATCACAAATCCTAGCCATTCCCCGACTTGCATGGGAGACCAGTGAGACTTCTCTTCGTTACACAACAAACCAGATGCACTGAGCTCCTTGCGCTGGATAATACTAGTCGCAGTAGCCGAGACTTTATTAGGTTGACCGCCAAAACCGTCATCTAAGTACAGAAAACTAAGATGGCCCAAGGAGCGCCACCTCTTAACCAAAGGGCGCAATAACTTTGTAAAACAGAAACAAGCGCTACTTAAGCCAAATGGCAAAACCGAAAATGTAAAATATCGGCGCACACCGCCTTCAAACACCCATGAAAATCCTAGATACTGCTGATGATCTTCGCAGATTTCTACATGATGGTATCCGGATTTTMAATCCCAAGTGAAAAACCAGTAGCCTTCTCCAACGACATGAGAAAGAGAGCGCAAATCCTCATATTTAAATTTGGGCTTAACCAAAAATTGATTGACATGCCTGAGGTCTATTACTAAACGAAGCTTTTTACCTTCAGCAACGGTCAATGGATTAACACAAAATGGTGGAGACTCGTGCTCAAAAATACACTCATTTTGTAACAACTCAGAAATCGCCTCAGCAACAAAATCCTTGTGTGTCAGGGCTGATAAATTATTGCGCAAAAA